CTATAAAGAATATATACACACTAGTTTTCATCGAAATAATTTTATAATATGCTCGTGAGATCACTTAGAAAATTTTGCATTTTAGACCTGATAAATTCGCAAAGTTTGAGGGTTTCTTAGGGGCATAAAAAAATATTTTTTTCATATTTTTCTTTTCCAGTTTTGAAGTACAATGTCTGAACTATATAAAAATCTTTTTTATTATTTAAAAAAAAAAAACTACTATGTTAAAATAAGGTATATAGGAGGTGGTGCATATATGCACCGTTAACCAGTAACGGGTTAATGGGTTATTTACGGCTCGATCCGAATTATAATCAATTTTACCTGACATTCCATAAAATGAGACATTTTGAAAATAGGGTTTTAAATTGTTATCAATTATGCAATTTTTTAATTGGCTTTTATTAATATTAGAACATTTTTTCCATATGAGAACATCTATAAGAAACAATAAAGCCATGGTGGCACCATACTTAAAGAAACTCTCTTATCTAATTTAATATTGATTACTTGTGTTTAAATTTAAGAGGGTATCGTTTTCATTATTTAAAAGCCTATTCCTAATGCTATTAAACCAGATGATATGGATCAATAATTCTATCCTTATTTAGCAACCAAGAAGAATAATTGGCTGAAACACTGCCAAAACAGTTATTGATCCTTTGACCATTTTTGCTAAGCCCAGCCTTCTAACAACCGTTGAAAAAGTAATCACCCAAACCTAGAACAAACCTCCAAAAATGCATGTGAACCAGTTTGAACCTTATATTTTAACTCTTTTAAAAATGATTAATAACAAGTTCTGACTGATAAATATCATTAATTATTTTTGTACATTACTATTTGATAATGTCAGCCACCCTAGTTAGCATATAGAAGTGTTCCCAATCATAAAATTAATTTTCCTCCTTTTGACAGAAGAGAATCTTGAATTTTTTTAAAAAAGGGTAGGGGAGACCGGGGTAAAACGATAGGCATTTTGCATATTTACCATAAAAATTTTAAACAAGAGTCAAACACAACAAATTATAGATCAATGTGTAGCCCCATCCCTCTTCTACAAGATAAAAAAAAGTGTAGGCCTGTATCTATAATATTTTAGGAGCTATGATTAGTTATGTAAAACTACTCATTTTCGCCATTTTACCCTGGGTACAGGGTAAAATAGATAAGCACTAGGGTAAAGTGGTTAAAATAATATTTGACACATATTTATTGTTTTATTTAACAAATATTACAAATTTAAGATTTATTTATGATTTTTATTTAAAAACTAATCGATACAATAAGGACATGTAAAATAATTATCATAATTAGCACATTTAGAATGTGCCCATTCAAGGCACATTGTACATTTTAGCCATTCATCGCCCTCGCGACTATTTTTATAGTTTTTATTACAAATAACACATAAACAATTATTTTTTGATATCTTTTTTTTTCTCTGAATTAATAATTTTTTTTATAAGGTGTAGATGTTAATATTTCTGAATTCTTTTTTTTAGATATTTTATCCGATGAAATATTGAATAATTTTGGAATAGGTATTATAGATGAAGGATTGAATACTTTATTATAATTTTTTGAGCATGATGGTAACATATCATGATAAGGTTCATCAATATCATCTGGAACATTTTCGTTCAATAATATAGATAAATCACTATCATTATTTTGTCACTGTAAGATTTTGAGTCACTGTAATATTTTCATCATTATTTTCAAATTCAATATTTGAGCTAGCATTTGAATTATTACAGCAGATATAATCTTGTTCTGTAAATATATTTGGGTTTAAAGGAAATATGCCACATGCTAATAACCCATTTAATATATTATTTGGTGTCACTGCCCTTGGTATTTCATTTTTTAACACTCCTGGAATATCATAAATCTGAAATTGTTGCCCACATGATTTCTCATCCATGTGTCAATAGCTCCATTATAAAACTTTTTCAATGGCCCATAAACTGCTTTGTCTAATGGTTGGAGTTTATGCGAGCAATGTGGTGGAAGTGTTAGAATAACAATCCCATTGGAGCGACAATAGTTTATAACGGAAATTGAACAATGAGAGCTATGGTTATCTAAGATTAATAAGACATTTTTCTCATTGGATGCACTAGAATATTTTTTAAAGTGTTCCAAAAAAGATAAAAATTCCTCCTCTTGCATCCAACCGATGCGTTTCCCACACCCTTAGATCCAATAGGCCTATCACGAATAAAGTGATCTTTGTATCGTTTTCTTGGAAAAATAAAAAATGGTGGAATGCTATGGCCTATAGCATTGATGGCTAAACATATTGTAACTAACGTTCCTCTTTCTCCTGACGTTATAGAGCCGACTTGTTTGGCACCCTTCTGTGCTATAATTTTTGCAGGAGTTTGAACGGTGGTGAAACCACTTTCATCTGCATTTCATATATTATGTGGTTCAAAGTTATAAGAATTATATAGCTTAATTAAATTTTCAAAAAATTTATTGACATTTGTGGGATTGAAGCCATATGCTCTTGCTAGACTAGTAGCTTCAGGGGTACGAATCGAAAGATGTCGTTTTCTAAACCCCATAAACCAGTCCTCTCCAGCCATACCATTAGTTGTCCAGCTTTCTGGGAAAGATTTGCCATATTCTTTAGCAAGCTGATAAGCAAATCCTCTTATCTTGTTTAAATTGAATTAATTTCATAATTTTAATAATACTCAATTGGTAACTTTAATATTAAATATCAATATTTATTTGATTATAATAAATGAATGAATGAAAAATTTAATGTGAATAATTTTATATTTTAACCGTTTTACCCATAACAGCTTTACCCATATATTATATATATCGTTATTGCGTGACTTCTAATATAGCTAAAGATGTCAGATAAATTTTATTTTATAGTTAATACATTAAGGAACATGTGTGCCAAATTTTGAATCCTGAGGATATGTAAATTTTACTAAAAGCAAAATATACTAGAGATTGATTTTTATATTTTTTGGGTAAAAAACAGTTTTTTGACAAAATATATAAAACCAGGTAAGTTTTTTAAAAGATGAACATAGGTAAGAAATTAGATATAAAAATACATCTTCACACCAAATTTAAGGTCTTTATACTCAATGGTTAAAAAGTTATTCGCGTTAACATTGTTACCCCGTCAATCGCTTTACCCCGGTCTCCCCTATATGGCACTATATTATTTTTTAAAGAATAGTGATAAAATTTAAAAAAAGTGTTCCCTTTTTACAATAAAATCACGATACTCATTTTTAAAATAATCGCTCAAAGTATTAATGGTTCATATCTTTTGGGTGGTGTTGAAGAAAAAAAATATAATATTCATTTTGCGATTTTTTTTCTGAGATTAATATCATTTGAAAACTTTTATTGTTTATCAATCGTTGTGTCAATTCTTTTAATCTTTAAAATTTGAAGCCAAGTAAAATGTCTTGATGCGGCGTTGATTGTTTCTTCTTAGTTAGTATAATAATATTAAGGGTTTAAAAATTTACAATATATAAAAGGTCATCCATTGTGTAAAATAACGTTTGTTTTGAATTGGAAAGAAATAAACTCAGGCAGATATTTAATATAAAAAAAGAGGATCAAATTAATTTTTAAATATAATATCAAAATGTACCTATAAATAAATATAGATAGAGCTAAATATGTATCTAGATACTTAAACAACTCTACGATATACATGGGTAAAAATACAATTCCGGTAAAATTAGGTCTGTTAATATTAAAAAAACATCCTATACATATTTTAAATATTGATTTGCAAAATAAAACTTATTTGATTAAACCTGCGATTTTTTAAATTATTTAAATCAAATTTTATAATAAAATATAAATAAGCCTAGTAGACGAAAATAATTCCTGAGGAAAAATTTAATCAAACATGCAATCAACTTTATTACATTAATTAAACATGTTTCCCTATGAAATTTAATTAAATTAGCAATATTTTAAAAAGTATTTTTTCATGTATGTTATATAAATATTTGTTCATATTTAAAAATGATTTTAGTATATTCTGTTCTGAGCATAATTTATAATTAAATTTCAATACTAACAATATTAGATAATATTAATTAAATTTATATTTATAAACTGCATCTAAATTCATCTTAGTATCAACTATTGAAACAATATTTAATTAAACAGGGCAGAAATAATAATAAAGATTTTTATTATCTCCTTAAGTTATAACAATAAAAATGATTTTTATAAAAATAATTTCAACATTAACACAACATAAAATCATTTATAATAATAAAATTAGAAAATACTTATTACTTATATGCAATATATAATAAAATGAGATGAAATAAATATTTTTAATTGAAAACAAAAACGAACCATTATTTAAAATTAGAAGCAAAAAAGTAAATTAGGCGATTTAATTTGATTTAATCATGCTACCCTTAACTAAAATAACTTTAAGCTTAGCAACATAATAAATTTATTATTATTAACTAAACAACCTATAAAATATATAAGAAAAAAATATTAACTAATAAAAAATACAATCAGGAATATTCATTTTAAGACATATTTATAAAAATATAATTAATATTTAATGTGATCGTTGTTAATGAAATATTATTTCTCACCGTAAATAAATTTCTCTAAAACAGAGAGCCAAATTATTTCATATTAATAATTACACATTATTCAAGCCTCCAGACTTTATTATTTGAAACAAACTTCTTCTATATGTAAGATATCACATGTTTATACCAGATTAGTAAATGTCAAAGACCGGACCAGATACCAGTTTTTAAAATCGGTTCGATCTTAGGGCCTGTACCATTGACCTACTATGCTAGAGTTTACAAACTTAATCCTAAAGAACAACAACCCAGTTTATCCCCCCCCCAACCCTTCCTCCTTTTCAACCATTGAAAATTTTCTATCTTCCTTTCTCTAATTTCCCTCCCTACATTTTATTATTTCCTCCCAATTCTTAAAATATGAATTATAAAATTATTTACCGGAGGTTTTAGGTGAGTATGATTTATCGATATCGTCCGAATTCCAGAATATACCGCGACATTTTAGCTAAAAAAAATAATAAGATAACTAATTATATGCTTGTTGATCGACAATAACAAAAAAAATTAACGATAAAATATTTGTGATTAATAAAAAACAACTTTATCAAAAAGCCTTTATTTAAATGTATGCCAATTAATCTTATAATCTTTTAGAGTAATAGTCAAAATATGGACATTCGCCAAATGATAACTATTTTCCACTAAAATTTTTTAAATTTTTTTTATAAAAAACCGTGACAAATTTTATAATTTTCTTCTTTTTTTCAAATAGTGAGCTGTTATATATGTTTTTTTTAAAAATCGTTTTAGACATTTATTAAATTACAAGTTTATTTATAAATAGGCATTTTAGGAATGATGATTTATTATCTTAACCGGTCAAAACAACAAAATATTTTTTTCCCTGGATATCAGACATTCTGCCCGAATCAAAAATATCAGTTTTTATTTTAAATGAAATTTGCAAAAGGAGTAATATTATGATAATATGTTTAAAATAGTACATTAGAAATATCAAAGGGCCGAACAGATTTGTCAAAATGAGAAAAAAAAATTATAAACCCAGTCCGTGAAACAATTGGATAAAAGATGGCTTACTCGGCCTGTAATAATATTTTTGCTAAATAAAGTATATATCTCTAATTTGAGCTGACGTGGTTAACATAGAAATATGAAGGTTTTGGTAATGACAATAAAAATTTATTGAAAGCTTCGTTACCATCATTACCGATATCTTTTAACTTTTTGACTAATACTGTATTACGGCCTTCCTACTAGCATGGGATCTCAGATGAGAACAATTTAGTAAGAAATGGCTCCTCTACCAATTCAACCGAACTTAAAAAAGTGGGTAAAACTAGATTTAAATAATATATAGAATAAATAAATTATCTTTGGCTTAGAATTGGAGTGTTCCACTTGTGCAAATATTTAAAATGAGAAATCAACATTAAAGTTTAAAATCAAATATAGGAAAAGCTTATTGATCAATTTTGACAGAGTGGCAAAAATTAATATTTTTTAATCTAGTTTTTATTTTTATATATATTGGGAATCAATAAGTTATTATCCACTTCTAAAAAATTTGATATAACTCACATTCAAATCCATTCGTCACTAATATTTTTTTGGCCATAAATTCATAAAATTGTATAAGGATTAAGCATAAAGTCAAGAGATATAGGTGATGATTGACACAAAGTGATATAGATAGAAACCATCCACGCCCTCCCCTGTCTTCTCATAGTCTCGGATCGATCAATATTGATGTTATAAATAAAACAGATTTGATAGAGTTCGGTTCATATTCATGTTATAATTGCTGGTTTCAATTACAATTCGCTCATAAAGCTTTAAAGTAGAATTTTTAGGAGTATAAAATGATAATGTGTGTTTATCTTAATTTTAAGTGTAAAGAAATGAGTAGTGACTTGTGGCATATTTATAAACTATACTTATTAATAAAAGTATTAATAGAATAATATCTCAATTTATATAGCAACAATTCCACAATAATTCGATTCAATTATACGAATTACCTTGACATTATATGAGTAAATCGGCATGTATTATAATAGTACATACAGGCTATGAGGGTCCAAGTTTTAATTAAATATATTTTCTAATTTTGCACCTTGTAAATGATTTTTGTTAGCCTTAATATCTATAATTAATTTAATTAAAATATTTTTTAATTCAAAAATTTGAATAAAATATCAATTTTTATTAATTAAAAATAGTTTTTTTAGTCAATTATCGGATCGTTGCAGTCCGTTTCGTAAAACGCTAAGGAGAGATAGTAGAGCAAAGAAATCTGAAATCGTATAGAAACTAAATTCTTAAGGACATGCAAGTTGAAGTTATGGCTTATATGATTATTAATCGGATCGACAATAGTTATGTAATAGCTTAAAAATGACTCGATCGTTAAGTCTACCGAAGAATATCGGTCATGATTAAGACCCGATTTAATTGATTCCTGCTTTTTCTTCAAAGTTCTGTTATATTTTAGAAAAAAAATCTGAGACCGTGTTGATAGTTTTTGGTTAATTATATTCGCGGGATAAAAAATAAAATCCGAACACTAGAAACAAAAAAAATAAATAAAAAGAGTTGGTAAGTGAAGGAAAAAACTTTTTCGCGGTTAGAAGGTTCTTTGTTGCCGTTGTTAGGAGTCAAGTCCAAGCCCGAATAATTAAGGGACAATCGCCAATCTTGAGTGGACCCACAATTTAGAGTCAAACGTCGCAGTGGGCGTTTAACAGAGGCTCCTAACCGAGACAGAATATCCCGCAGAATAGATATTGAAGCGGCATTTTTCTGGCCGGTTAACAAGACATTAGGGATTTGGTTATCGTTATCGTATTCGGTGATATTACCATTCTTGTGGTTGAGGTCACTTTGGCTGACATCGGGACTATGGAGATGATCACCGAGAGCGACAAAACATTCATTTTTGGAACCGAATTCGTGATATTGATTAAAAATATTTTCGACCCCCAACCTGGCAGAAAACAGCTTTAGCTGCTCCGCTAATACATGTAACTGATCATCGATCCTAGTTTCTGCAGTATAAGAAAACTGATTTCTCAAATCCGGGAATAATTTGCCGAGGTAAGCAAGACCCTTAAACAAATGGTTATACAGGGCTCGAATCATGCGTAATTTGCGTTTATTCACTGTAGGGTCATACGATTCAGTTATAACGGCAACAGCAGGACTTGGTGAACTGTTAATAGCGGACCATTCTATACAGAAATTAACGGCTGATTGAACCCGGTTATTTGTCAAAAGCAATGTGCAAAACAGGACGGCGTTCTTGTAAGGAATCAAAGGTAGTGGCCACAGGTGGAAGAGTCTAAAAAAACGTGGAAGAAAATTAGGTATTTTTTGCACTGAAACAATATGAAAAACATACAAATCAAAAATAAAATTTATTTGGTAAATGTACAGTAACAAAAAAAAGAAAAATAAATTGCATTTTTTTTCTTCAAAATAAATTTTAGGGCTTAGAGCGGTTAAAATAAAAAGATAACGTCAATAAAAAATTTAAACATTATATGACGCCCGTCATTTAGAAAACTAAGTTAGGCATACAGGAGTGTTCTGCCATTCATAAAACTAAAAAAAACTCCTATTAAATCGCACAGAATTAAAACTGAAATGCTAAGAAATATTTTTTTGTTGTATTTTTTTTCATTATTGTTTTTTACGTGTAATAATATGATTGTGTAATAATGGCGCACGTATTTGACTTTGATAAAATTTGTAAGACTCATGATTTCGGAGAATGTTAATCGAGTTTGACTTTTTAAATTTTGTTTAATAAATTGTTTTTATTTTAAACAGTATTTCGTTTAAATTGTTTTTTTATAATACATATATATACACCTTATTTTATATTTATTTTTAGTATCATTTTTAGTTTTAGAATAAATTTATTATAAATAAAAATCACCACCGTTATCTCTATATAACATGGTGTTCCGCTTTGAATGATAACTCACGCACAATGATATATAAAAAAATCTCATGTATATTGTGCATATGCCGATAAATATAAAAATTTTTTTGGAATTATGTAATAAATTATAAAAATTATTCGATATATAAAGGACACACACAAAGTAAAAAAAAAATTTTTTTTTATATGACTTTACAACGACAATATATATCTTTATGCTAATGTAAATAAAGTTTTAAAATAAAAATTTGCAATTTGGATAAAAAAAAATTGAGTACATAATAGTGACAATATTTATCTTTGCTAATTTAAATAAAGTTTATAAAATAAAAATCTGCATTATGGATGATAAAATTAGCATATCTTCCAACAGGGAAGTTAGGTTCCTAAAGTTGGAGGGATGCTAGACGGACATATATTTGGAGAGACTTGACGATTATTTCTCTCAAACAATTTTATCCGACTCAGTAAAAATTGAAACATTGATGAGCAATTATACGATAAAATTAAGTCATTATGTACTAAGGAAGATATTAAAGATTATAAATTTATTAATAAAAAATTAAAATTTTTATTACCCAGCAAGATGTTTGGATATTGACTGGGAAGTTTAACCTTGCTTCACAAGGTGTTAATGAATCTTTTTTGGATTGGTTTTTTAGACTGTGTAAATTAAGTAGACAATGTAATTTTATTGATGATCGCATAAAAGAAAAATTGAGAACATCTAGTTTAAATGACAATATAAAAAATTAATTAAATAAAAATATTAACTACACATTAGACGAAATGATTGAAATAGGAAGAAAATTAGATATTATTAACATTAAATCAGAAAGTGAGAATGTTAATTATGTTTTTAGTAGGGATAAAAAATTTAATAAAAATAATGAAAATAGAAATAATGATAAGAATTTAGATATCCAAAGTACTTCTAATAGGAGATTAATAGTAACTATAATAGACCTAATTATTATTCGAGGCAAAATTTTGACAGTAGGAATAGAAATTATGGTGATAACAATTTTAGTAATGTTAACGACAACAGGAATAGGAATTTTAGTAACGTTAGAAACAATAACAATTATAATAATAACTATAGAAATAATCAGTATAATGATAGTAACTATCAAAATGGCAATTATCGGTATAACAATAGCAACAGAAACTTTCATAATAATAATCATCAATCTTATAACAACAACTATGATAAGGAACAACGCCTGGTTTAATTATAATCTGAGGAGGCAGATTCAATGTGACGATCAAAATCATAATAATTACCGATCTTATAACAACAATTCAAATAATTATGAAGGAAACAACAGGTGGCATAATAATGATAACCAAAGAAAACAAATCGAATATGACGATCGTAATCGGTGGAAGGATTTTAATCAAAGAAAACAAATCCAGTATGATAATCAAAACTTCTACGATAGCAATAATTGTAATATGAACATTGAAGAAGTTGGGGAAAATAAAGTTGGCACTGCCAAAGACAATAATGAGAATGATTTCAATGTCAACAACCTGGCTGAAAATACAGACAAAGGTGATGACAGTGCTTTTATGACTACTTTGAAATTAAATAATGTTACTACTACTATGCAGGTTGACACTGGATCAAAGTATACCATCATACCTCATGAGATGGCTAAAAAAATTGGTATAAGAGAAATAAAGAAATCCAGTTTGCGGCTTACAGCCTACGACGGAAACTTGATTAAAATAATCGGGACAACTCAAGTTAAAGTAAGTTATGAAGGGATCACTAAATATTTACTAGCAGTAGTTGTAGAGTCAAGAAAGAACGCGTTATTAGGAAGAATTTGGATCAATGCCTTTAAAAATATTTTAAATAAATTCATAGGAAATGTCGACACCAATTATGAAGACGAAATCAATAAAGATCGTGAATCCAAATTGACTAGCGAACCAAAAAACAAAGTAAATGTCAAATTACATTAAGATGTGATGCCCAACCTAAAATAATACCACCAAGACGTATATTGTATTCAAAGATTGATCTTGTGGGCGAAGAACTGAATAGATGGATACAAGAAAAAATTATTGAGCCTGTAAATGATGTGCGAGTCCTATAACCGCCGTATACAAAGATGATGGGAGCATCAGGCTTTACGCAGATTTTAAAGACACTATAAACCTAGCTCTCGAATACTTTAGATACCCACTTTCACATATAAATGATCTTATAGCTAAACTTTCAGAAGGAAAAAAATTTGCCAAAATCAATTTTAAAAATGCTTTTCTACAAGTTCCGATTGATAAAAATAGCAGATTGACTATATCTACACATAAGGGATACTACCAATTTGTCAGACTTCCTTTTGGGTTGAAAACTTCATCTGCTATATTCCCACAAATCATGGATCAGATTTTTGTAGATATGAAAAATGTTATATTCTATATTGATGACTTATTAATAACTGGAAATAACGATGAAGCACATTTAAACAACATCAAAAAGGTGTTTGAGGGTTAGTACCTAACTTGGCCAAAAGTTTATTTTTTAAAATAAAGTGAGGTTCCTGGGTTATGATATTGACGCCAAGGGGATTCATGCTAATCACGACAAATTTTTATTTAATTACAAAATACGCGTAATGATACTACAGGAGTTCCGTCTAAGAGAATGTTCAACAGTGATATTAGAGTTAAATGGGACTTATTGAGACCGTTGGAGGAGAAGGAGAATAAAATAAACGTTACTTTACCACGAAATAGAACCTTTAATATAGGAGATTTTGTTTGGTATAAAGTACAAGGGAATGACACGTGGGACAAAGGGACAATTAATTTGAAGGAAAGCGACACTATGTTCCAAGTCTATACAGAAAAAGGTATTACAAGGAAACATATGGACCAATTAAGAAAGAGAGAATGCTATATACATTTGAATACCATGACTCTCCTAAGAAGGACGGATGTGAGGACAATTAAAACTAATTATAAAAATATTGTAATACCGACTCCTAGACCGATACGAAGTAGACAAAAACATGTTTATCTAAAAGATTATATAACTTAGAATATTAAAACTGTAAAAATAAATTAAATACTAAAACACGAAAAATTAAATTAAATACTAAAACGCGAAAATATAAATTGGAAAACGCAAAATAAAAATAAAAACGCTAAAAATATTATCTAACAATCTTGTTGATTTATCATCCTTTTATTATTCTAACATCCAAATTTGATCAATTCTGTGATTATTCATATATCCCAACATCCTATTTGATAATAAAAATTTTAAAAAATTGATAATAATAACCACTGAGATATGAAGCTTATGATTTAACAAACCACGATTAAGACGAAATATGCAACAACTTGACAATCAAAATGATAAATCATCTGGACGACAAGCTTGCTATGACAGCTCAGATGGATTATGGGAAGGCTTTTCAGAGGAAGGGGAATGTTAATCGAGATTGACTCTTTAAATTTTGTTTAACTTAAATTGTTTTTATTTTAAACATGTTAGCCTTTAACTATGTATTTCGTTTAAATTGTTTTTTTATAATACATATATATATATACCTTATTTTATATTTATTTTTAGTATCATTTTTAGTTTTAGAATAAATTTATTATAAATAAAAATCACCACCGTTATCTCTATATAACAGAGAATTATTTATTTTATTATATGATATGAAAGGGCCGATTTTTGCCAATATTGGATTTATTTCATTTTTTTTATTTCAATTTTACGTGACGTGATATATAACGCTTTTGCACTCTAGCGTTGAAGGTTCAACAGAGCTACGCTAGGTTTTCCCCATTTTCATCTAATTGGAACCAATTTAATTTGGGTGTAAAAGTAAAAATATGAGGAGCCCTCCACACGTTTGTGGGCAAGCCACAGTACTTAAACCTCTATAGGCTTATTATAAAGGAGTGGAGCAGTAAAAGAGCCTATACCCGAGAACTATAGTATAATTTAATTACTTTAAGGGTGGGTGGTGGCTGATTTTAAGTTTAAATTCTTTAGTGTAAGTCTTAATGAGATTTAATGTTCATAGAATCTATAAATAAAGATAAAATAAAAAAATTTGCCTGATCAGTATGATAGAGTTTTTTATTAATGATTCATCCCATACAAATACAGTACTATCATTTATTCTCCAAAATTTTTTGCACCGGATGAACCGCACCTCAAAATCCCAATTCTTTTACTTAAATAAAATTAGTTTTGAGTTATTAGTTCTTCTTCCTACTGCGGACAATCAATAGTACTATTAATTTAAAGAATTTGCATAAGAATATAAATTTTCCCAAAAATATTGGTCTCCGGTTCCCACGGACTTCTGCACCCTTTAATTTCAATGACGTTATTACCTTATAACCCTCCTCCCCCTTCTAGTCCCTTCCGGTTCTTCAAAATAAAAATTAGTAGTTATGAGCGCTAAAAAGTGAATCTATTGATTTATAAAAATAATTTTAGCTAAATAAAAAAGGAGTAAATTCATTCAAGAATCCTTCACATGATACCATTGTTTGGAATGTTAGAAAGTCAGAATGCCCCTAAAGACATAGTGATATGTAAAAATTAAAATGTTATCAGTAAATCTCTATATTAGCTTTTATAAGATATATTGAAATATTATGTTAGAATTTTTTAGTTTTTCCACTCCATCTCACATTGAAAAATAGTTATTATCCATATAATAAATCTCTTTTACGAAATATTAAGCTAGAAACTTTTTATCCCACCGGACACACTCTGAAGACATAGAGTGATTAGCATCAATATCCTTACTAACTTTCATTTGTTACCCATGTAGATATTTAAAATATTTAACACCCCCCCCCCCCCCCCCCACAACTTACCTTGAAGAGATGAGTATTAATGTAATCAATTAATCTTTTTATTATATTTAATTAATTACCTTGAGATATTTGATTATGCACCTTTACCCCCCCCCCACCAACTGGAAATCTTTATTTTAAGATATTATATTAAAAAAATTAACCCCCCCCCCCCAACCCATGACCCGAGAGCATGTATTAATAAAACTCAATAAGAGCATAGATTAATAATACTCAACAATTCATTTGATTAACTTTAATTTGAAAATAAAATAATAAAAGCAAACATTTATGAAAGATATTATATTTCATCTAAGAAAAAATAGTCTTTAATTATAAGGAAAATATCTGTGAAATCAGGTATAAATCCTTAGCTTTAAGTATTTTTTAATTCTGAGCAATTAAGTAAATATAATTATGAGCTTTACAGTTTTTGTTCTGTGCGAAATAATATAAGTCATAATAAAAACCTAAATGCCTCGTGAGTCAAATCAAGTTTGAGCATGCGAGTGTAAAGACGTTTTTGGGAACCACGTCCGAAAAGGGAGATGATTGTCTCAACGAATAGATTATCGGGATCCGCTGGAGCGGCGACAAAATTTGAAAAATTTTCTATAGCGTTATGGTCTTTAAACTCGTAAATTGCTTTGGCTCGATCAACTGCTCGGGTTTCCATTGAAGCCAGAATTTGATTGACAGTTTTCTTTAGCTCAACTGATCGATATTCGTGGAACACCACCCATAGCAATAGCGTCAAGCCGGAAAGGCAACCATAAACATTAAAATAATTATTCGGAAGTTGGGATTGAAATCGTGTGAAAACATCTAATTTCACAATGCTATCGATATCAGCGTTAATGAGGCATGGAATGAAGAGGCGTGAAGGTATGCGGTTGGCTGAAAAAATAAAGCATAATTCCCAAGTCAAATGGGCGGCAAAGATTCGCGGTACGCTCATATGGACATTTGCGAAATGCGAGGATAGAAGACGTGTAAGGAAGCGACTCATCGAATATTGGCTTAAAATAAGATTAGAGTGATTGATGGATTGGGTGGTCATTGAGGGTGCGTTCAAAGAAGAAGAATATGGTGGTAAAATGAAAGGAGACCTTTGGTGATAAAAAAATAAATACTTTTGTGGAAACTGAACTTTATTTATTATTAACAATTTTCTTTATTTATTAACAATTTTCTTTTTCTATATTCAATTCTTTCTTTCTTTTTCTTTCTAAGAATTAGAGATCTACAAAAGTAAGCCCGGCCCATACCCTGGCAGGTCCGAACGGAATTCGGGCCGGGCCTAATATTTTTTAAGAAAATTTGGGCCGGGTTGAGTCGCTTAGAGATTTTTTAAAATATATCTAAATTTATCAATTTAATGTTGAATTTATTATGTAAAATAAAAATTTTTGATTTTATTTATAGAAAGTAGACGCCAAATACATATATCGTTTATTTTGAGTAATTCTAAAAATTAATTTCTATATTAAAATAAATTCGGGCCGGGCCGGCAAAATTTTTTTAAAAAAATTTCGGGTTCGGGCCGGGCAAAACTTTATAAAAAAATTTCGGGCCAGGTCACTACTGAGAGATAACAATTAATTACGAAATAAAATATATTTAAAAATTATCCGCTATTATGTTATAAGAGTTCTTTGAGAATTATTCTTATATTCGTTTTTCTTCTTTAGATATTATAAGTGAAATAAAAAATAATTATCCTTCAGAAATACCTGAGAGTATCCAGGAAGGCCTCCACACCAGAGGTTCTCGGACAAATTCCGTTCAAGGCAGCCCACCCAACGATCGCCCATATTCGTTGTAGAACGTTGGATATGCGCGATTCGGCACACCGAGCATGAGAAAGAGAAGACGAAAAAATGTCTAGGCTATTGAATATTTTATCAATAAGGGCAACAGCAGGCAAAAAAGTGCGGGACCCCTCGAGAGAGAAGTGGAGAAGACGAGAGATGCGTGATATGAAGTGAGAGTGGATCGAGGATAAGCATGATAGGTTTGATGAGTGCCTTAGCCATGTTGAAGAAACAAATGGGAAGATAAGAATTGAATGCAAGAAAGATAAATAGAATAGAAAAAAATAAAAAGTATAAGAAAATAGTAAATACAAGAAAAGTGAGATAGAATGAAAAAAGATTTTTTTTAGTAAATTCCTAGTTTAATGAATTTATCATTTAAACCATTTGGGTGTTCAAGGAGGGAGGGAAAACTCTCATCCACTTTTCGAAAATTTATCATTTTTGATAAATAAATATCATTATAAGGTAATAAAAATTTCCCCTCTATAATATCCCCCCCCCCCCAATGAATACAATATGTCATTATAAACCATTTAAAAAAATATTAAGTTAATATAATTTTTAAAATATTGGCTATAATAGAAATTTTTGAATAAGGTATATGAGAAACCAAAATTATATTTTTATAAATGGAATTCGGCCAAATGTCTTCACAAAAAAAGAACTTAAAAATTAAAATTCATGGTAAAAAAACCCATACATAACCCCTCTACCCTCCGATGAAACCCTAAATACGCTTATGAACTTAACCTCTTAATAAAATCGTATTAAATTTTTTTTATCACTTTAAACTGCCTAGTACCCACACGTCCATATCGAACTTATCGGATAAATCTAAAAGAACTGATATCTGTCGGCATTTTTCCCGATCGATTTCGCCATTTTCTATGTTCTTTGCTAAATTTTCGATATCGAAAATACTTTTTTCGATTCTATGTGCTTTTGTGGTTTATATATTTAAACGAGGAAAAACGTTATAATAATCCAAAATCAATTCGAAATGTATAAAAAATATATATTAAGAAATGTTTGTTTACGTGAACAATCGTCCTCTGACGGAAGGTCAAAAAGGGCCACGGCCCATCGATAAAATGGGGCAGGGTTGGTCAAGGGGTTTAGTGGGCCTATCAACGATGAGCATTCGTACAGACATTTCCAAAAATTTTGAAAAGGTGATACCCTCCTTAAGAATTAATAAATTATAGCATAAGATAATAAATCTTCTTTTTGTTACTTAATCGAGCCCATAAATGGTGCAAAAAAAACCATCGTTACTCAAATTATAATTAGGAATATAAAAATAGTTTTTAGGGGAAAAACACCCTATATCATAAGGATAATATCTCACCTTAACTAAATCTTTAACAAAAATAGAAAAATTAGAACCATATAATATTCAAATGATTTAAGCAACATTAGTATAGTTTATAAAATGTAAAAAAATTGTTTAAATCGTATCATTTTACAGGCGCGTGCCTAATTATTTGTTACCGAAAACGCGAGATTTATAGTGTTGCTAAATACTACTTTGAGGAGCACACTAACGGCGCCGCTTTTAAATAAGGTAGCGCGTGAATATCTATTATTCTTTAAAAACTAACGAAAAAAAAAATACTCAAAATATTTTAAAATTTGTGGAATCCAAACTTTTAACAAAATATATAAATTTATTATGAATGGCGACTTGTGTAAAATATAAAAAATAAATAAACGTTTTATTCATTAATATTACACCTTAATAACCAAATAATTTTATATTTAAATTTCCAAGTCTTGAGCATCCCTAAATATAAGGTATTAATTATAACATATAACAATTAAAGGTTGGCGCTGGTCGGCACATGGAATTTTTTGGGAAGCATAGCCCGGCCTATAATAATTCTTACCTGGGCAGGACTGTGAAAAAATTTTAAACAAGTTGTCCGGCCCGATCCGTAATTATTTTTTATGGAGAAATACGTCATAAAAATTTAGGTCTGGGTAAGTTTGTAAACATATTTTCTACAATCTGTTCGACCTGGCAAAAATATCTTTATTCTAGACTAGAGGGCCAGGGCCGAGCTGGCTGGCCTAAAATAAGAAATAATTAATATCGTTCTAGTCAATACTCACATATGTAATTCAAAATTATAAATTTTCAATATTACAACTTCAAATTAAATTATAAAATAATGAATGTATGTTATAAATATTTATTCTATTTATTTTAAAAGCAGCGAAGTGGTGTGCTATATAGAAGTTAATTTCCACAAAAATAGTAGCGCGGCATTGCCAAAGCTAGTAACGCCTTACTTTTACAATAATGGGTTTAAGTAATAGTTTTCGACTATAGCACTAAGTTTCATCGTTTTTTAAGCCAGCTAAATAATAGAGCAATTACCCAACTATTTTTTTTCTCTCTTTAGCTTTCACCTTTTCGGGTGGTAAGCTCCTTCAATATCTCTCTCCACTTTATGTTATTCATACTATCTCTTTTATCTAATTTATACTTCTTTATATTGGCTCTAACTTTATGGCCCCATTGAAGTTTTGGCCTTCCTCTTTTACGTTTGCCCGTCACTTCCAAACTCTCAACCTTATTCCTATGTAGTTCATAGGCCTTCTCATTGTGTGCCCATACCCCCTAAGTCTGTTTACCATTATCTTAGTCTTAATGGGTACTACCTTTAAACTACTTAGTATTCTTGTACTGCGCACTTTATCCTTTATTGTTACCCCAGAAATAATCCTCAGCATTCTCATCTCCATAGTTTGTACACTTCTCTCGTCTGATTCCTTGGTTGGCCATGTTTCCGAACTATATAGAATAGTTGGTTGTACTATGGAACTGTAAATTTTTCCCTTTAATTTGTGTGGGATTCTTTTGTCAAATAGCACTCCAGATCAAGATCTCCACTTTAACCACCCTTGATTAATTTTACTCTTTATCTCTTTTCTATTGTGCCGTTTGTTTGTATAGTGGAGCCCAAATATTTGCAGCTTTCAATTGCCGATATCTGCCATTCATTTATATCAATACTCTCTGTTTCATCTCCTCCTATCACCATATACTCCGTCTTTTCTCTAATTACTTTTAGTCCGTGCTTTTCTAGGATATTTATCCAACTCACTAATCTTTCTTTCATCCTTGGATTTGGCAAGTATCACAATATCATCTGCAAATATCATATTCCACGGGACTGTTTGAGGTATAGACTGTGCTAATTCATCTATTACTGTAATGAAGAGAAGTGGGCTGAGAGCCGACCCTTGATGAACTACTTCGGCTATTGTGAAGCCTGCTGAAGTAGCTGTTGTACTACGGACCATTGTTGTATGGCCCATATACATATCCTGTATTATTCTTATATATTTTTCGGGAAACATTTTGTGGCGTAACGCCCACCAGATAAGTTTTCTTGGGATTCTATCGAAGGCCTTTTCTAGATCGAGAAAGACCATGTGTAGCTTTTTGATCTTTTCCCTGTATTTTTCACTCATTTGCTTAATTGCGTCGATAGCATCAGTTGTTGATATTCCAGGCATAAAGCCAAACTGAGTCTCTCCTATTTCGATTATGTCTCTTAATCCTTTTTCTATTATTTTTTAGTATAGTTTTAGAGTGTGACATTAGTTTTATGCCCCTGTAATTTTGACAATTGTGTGGATCCCCTATATTTTTGAAGATAGGAACTAGATAGCTTTGCCTCCATTTTTGAGGAACCTCTTCATTTCCAAGTATTTTATTGTATAGATTTGTGAGGAAATGTATTCCATCATCTCCTAGTGCTTTAAGGTTTTCTATTGGAATATCATCTGGACCCCTAGCTATGTTGTTTTTTATATGCTTGAGGCATGTGATTATTTTTGTTCTATTATAGGTTGTACAAGGTGTTGACATGGGGAGTGTTCGTCTAGATGTAGTATGTGGGGATTAAAGTTGAGAAGCTCCTGAAAATATTCTTTCCATCTATTCATTATTTCTTTTTCCTTTATTATCAATTTCCCATTTTTATTTTTGATTACTTTCGGAGCTCCGTTTATATCTCTAGAATTCTTTTCTTGCTGTTTGGCTAATCTGTATATTTTATTTTGCCATTCGTTGGTATGTAGTTCTTCGTATATGTCATCGTATGCCATAGCTTTGGCCCTAGCCACCGCCTTTGTAGCTATTCTCTTGGATTTTTTGAATCTTGTCTTGTCATCTGGGTTTTTGGATTTGTACCATATTTTATAAAGGGCTTTTTTCTCCGGTATAGTGGTTTGTACATCTTCATTCCATCACCATAGTTCTTTGTATAATTTGCTACCTCCCCTTGTCAAGCCTAGTGTATTCATCTGGATGAAATGTCTGTTCACATTTTTAGACTGACTTGTGAGGAATCTATTGTTTCAATGATTGCAAAGGCATCTGTCATTGTTTTTAATTTATCCCATTTGATGCATGGTTCTAATTTTATCTTGTTTTGAGTGGATTTATTTGTGAGGTGTAAATTCATGACTAGTAACTTGTGTTGCACAGGAATATCTTCTCCTGGGATGACTTTGCAGTCTATTACATCTTTTAATCTTCTGCGAAAGATTAGCATGTAATCTATCTGTGTTATCCTTGTACCACTTTCATATGTTATTAAATGAGTCTTTTTTCCTATAGTAGGTGTTGGTGAAGGCAAGGTTGAAGGCTTGCACAAATTTCAGTACATGCTCTCCTTCATCATTTCTTTCTTCATATCCAAAACCACCATGATGACTTTTGTAGCTATCTCTTGCTTTTCCCACATGCGCATTTAAGTCACCACCTATTATGACTAGATGTCATCCTCAGGGATTTCCATTACAGCTTCATCAAGGACAGCTCTAAAGTCACCTTTCTCCTCTTCTTTGAGACCCGTTTGAGGAGCAGTATTGATTGACCAATGCAGAGTTTTATTTTCATTAGTCTATCGGAGATCCTATTAACTTCTATCAGAGGAGGTTAGATCTTGACTGAGGATGATGCCGACATCGTTCCTACTGCTAACAATTCCATTATAGTACAATTTATAATATTTAAGGATTCTGATCAGAGTGGAACCAGAATCTAAGCCCTTCGGAATAGGAGTAAAATCAAGGAACCGAAACTTCCTTTTTAAATATTTAAAAACAATTGCCTATTGCAGAACCGGAACTCTTTTACAGTTTTGACCAGATATGATGGAAAACATTTCCTATTTTTTAATTTATTTGAAAATAAAATTATTTGACTTGGAAAAAATTGTTAAAATAACATATTTATATATTCTAATCAAATTTTTATTTACAAACGAATTAAAAAATATAGGAAATGTTTTCCATAAAATCTTCTCAACACTATAAGACCGGGTTCAATTCTAATTCTGATCATTCTTAAATGGATGATAGCAGAACTAGATAAAAAAAAAGAATTATGAGAAATCAGAAAGATAAAAACCTCAACATGATTGATAGACTACTGTTGGGCGTGATTGACAGGCTAAAAGATAAACCCTCGCAGAGCTTGTTCGAAAAATTCCAATGATTTAAGATCAAGCGAACGCGATTTGGATGTGTGGGTAACAGGAAAGAAGAGTTAGATGGAAGAAGCGTACGGGAAGCAGTGGAGACAGTTTTTAGGCGTTTTGAATTTTTTAATGTCAAAACGAGTTTCTACAAAGTGTTCATATTTTTTGTGTAAAATATTCTATAAATGATTTTTTAACTTACCAATTTATATAGGTGGGTAATTCCATACGAAATCGCTAACTTTTCGGCCCGACCTTTTTAATTTCGATAAAATTTTGTATGCTGAGAGAATATCATCTGAAAGCATCGAATCCAAAATTTTAGCTTCCTAGTACTCATAGTTCCAGAGATATCAATGATCAAAAGTGCCAAAAATGACCTTTTTCGAAAAATATGATTTTTTGAAATTGATATAAGTTAAAAAATAATGATTTTAAAAATATAAGTTATATGTCATTTTATAACTCTATTAAAGGCCTTTTATTAAATATTAAGGATTTTTTTGAAATAATATTGTTGCGGTTTTTAATTACGTTATAAATTTTAAACATAAAAATTCCAGGTGTTTCGCTTTTCAAATTTTTTTAAATTTAATATTTTCCTATTCTCTAACCTTATATCTATTCATAAAAAAAATTTAAACTTGAGACAGCCACGGGTTTTTTAGTTATTACGATTTAAAAAATCAAAAAATAAATATTTTTTCAAAAATAGATGGCGCTCCTTTATAAAATAACGTGTTTAGTTATAATAATTATTTTTTTCACTTTTAAACATAAATAATAAGATTTTCCAGCATTAATATCATGAAATGAGATTATTTAGCTGCGGTTATAATAAATTTTTTTATAAAAAATTTTAATTTTCGAAAAATTATTTTATAAATTTTGAAGATATAATATATAAATTAAAATTCAAGATATTACCTATTTTCGGTTTTTCATTAAATTTAGATTTTTTGACGCCATGAAAATTTCGTTTTGCGATAAATTATATATACGCCCAGTAGCCGTTGATGGGCTAACTATTGTTAAAATATTATTTTTTGGTATGAAAAGGATATCTTGTGCAGCTGGATAAACAAAAGTATTTGCTGGTCTAGGGTGAAGAAAATTAATTTTTACTTCATCTCTAATTACATTCACTTCTTGTACAAACCCTAACCACCAATCGTTTTCATATGCACATGTTACATATCCTCTAATCTCATCGATTAACAGATCCTCAATCAAAGGATCTTCACGTGGATATACTATATTCTCCACAATAAATGTCTGCGAATTAGAATAGTTTAGTGTTGAGTTTAGTTAAGTCAATCGGAAACACTGCATGAATTTTTTGTGTCCCAGGTATTGAGATAGATTTACTAAGTCTCTCACTTAGCCTTTCTTCATAATCTGGTATAGTGGCATAAGAAAAATTTATACCTTTTATATGTTCTTCCGCATATTTATAAAATTGTAAAGGTGTAATTATTTGATCAGTGTAAGGTCTTTGTAAGATTGCCTTGGCAACTAACCTTTTTACTGTGCCGCCTATGCCGTCGCAGGCACTTTTACCATGTGCCGAAGGAAAAAAATGCCATTCAGCTTGAACACCAACGATTTCATGGTAGCAAACATTGATGAAGTTTTTCCTATTTTTATATTACGCTGCTGAACCATCAGAAAAGTAGTGAATTTTTTCTGATGTGTCGAATTTATTTTTTAAAAAATGAATCAAACGCCATTGGAATAAATGGAATGAAACAGTATTATGAATTAAGGATTCTGATATTACCACAAAACTTAGATTGTTTATTTGATCTCCTATTTCATAATAAATTGAGAATGGATGCAACGTAACTTGCGAAGTGTCCAATGATAACCCTGAACTTCGTCTTGGACAATAAAGGAATAATTTTCTGAAAAGTCACAAATAATTAGATAGTGATTATTTTCTAAACTATTTTTAAGGTTATTGTGAAATGAACTTTGTTGTTCACAAATAAATGAATGGCTTTATCGAAAAAATAATTAATAAATTCGTCTGAAGATTGAGAAATAGTCTCCTGAGTTGTTCTATCTACCGAAACCCACTGTTTAAAAGTAACAAGAGCTATATCATTTTTTATAAATAATTATTCGATGCGTTTTTTTAAGAGTGCCGAGCCAGGACATTCGATGCAGTCACCAAAATAACAGGTGGGTAACGGGGGATTGCAAATCATTTTGCCTATAACATCTCTATAAGTTGTTAATGTATCCTCACCATTTTTAATCAATGTTGCTAATTCACAGCATAAAATCATAAGTTTAATATTCAGGTGTATGCTACAAACGCATACACTATGTGTTCCGCTAGCCCCTGCTAATATACAATTTTTTGGTCTTAAGCTAGCAAATTTCGAAAATCCAATTGTTAAGTTTGAATTACTTGCCTTAAAATGATTATATAATTCTTTCAAATTATTAAGAACTAACCATTTTTGAACGTTCACTCGTTCCCCCTTTTCAATGATAGATATGCAATTTTTTTACTGGTAATACCTTACTAACTTCATCACTGCAAAAAATTTTTTTAACAATATCAACTGTTTTTTGATTGAGATATTTTGCAGGCTTTCGATTTGGAGTTGAAAGAATCCACTTTTCTTCCAAAATGATTTTGGAATTATATGCCATATGATATGTAGCGTTGAATGTCGTTTTTATTTTATTTGCGCTCCAATTAGGAGGCAGAATGGTCAGCAATTGATATTTTTCTTTTTAGATAAATTGGGATATTGTAATTTCATGTTATTGAGTATATCATTATTATCGTTCTTATCCGAATCTGGATTGTTAATTATTATATCTGTAATCGTTTTTGTTATTTTTGATGCCTTTTTTTGGATAATTTTTTTTCGGTTAGTTTTTTCTTCTTAATAGGAGATATTCCTATTTCATTTAAAGTTATAATGATTTTATCTATTGATTTTGATGCTGTGCTGTTATTTACTATTCACCATCAGAATTTATAATTTCGATATTTTTTTGTGATAACCTTTTAGGCATTTATCACAAATGTAATGTTCTGCCTCAATGTTTGGATATTGTGTCATCCACATCATGACTTTGCGCAGGTTCTTTTTATAATTAAAGTGTTTAGATTCTTTAAAAGAATTTACGCATTTATATTTATACATTATAGATAATTTAAGAATAAAAATAATTAATATCAAAATATTTGTAAAATAAAAATTAAGGCCCAAATTTATTTAAATATAGGAATTAATTTTTATAATTACTCAAAATAAAAGACATATGTTATATGTCGTTTAGTTTCACTTTCAATAAATAAAATCAAATATTTTTCTTTTTACATAAAAAATTAAATATAAAATTGATAAATTTATATATATATTTTAAAAAGTTTCCAAGGTCCTACCCGACCCGGCCTTTCTTAAAATATTAGACCAAACCCGAACCCGATTATTTTAAATAGAATTAGGCCCGAATCCCGTCCAGGCCGGGTACGGGCCGGGCGGGGTTCGGGCCGGGCCTAACTTTGCAGATCTCTAATAATAAGTAAGCCAATCAAAAGGTCTATATAATATTTTTTCTTGATAGTAATGCTGGAAAATCATATTATTCATGTTTAAAAGTGAAAAAAAATAATTATTATAACAAAACACGTTATTTTATAAAGGAGCGCCATCTATTTTTGAAAAAAATATTTATTTTTTGATTTTTTAAATCGTAATAACTAAAAAACCCATGGCTGTCCCAAGTTTAAATTTTTTTATAAATAGATATAAGGTTAGAGAATAGGAAAATATTAAATTTAAAAAAATTTGAAAAGCGAAACACCTAAAATTTTTATGTTTAAAATTTATAACGTAAATAAAAATAGCAACAATATTATTTCAAAAAAATCCTTAATATTTAATAAAAGGCCTTTAATAGAGTTACAAAATGACATATAATTTATATTTTAAAAATCATTACTTTTTAACTTATCTCAATTTCAAAAAATCGTATTTTTCGAAAAAAGTCATTTTTGGCACTTTTGACCATTGATATCTCTGGAACTATGAGTACTAGGAAGCTAAAATTTTGGATTCGATGCTTTCAGATGATATTCTCTCAGCATACAAAATTTTATCGAAATTAAAAAGGTCGGGCTGAAAAGTTATCGAATCAAGTCCTATTCGACAGCTCATAGAGAGTTAACCCATTAATCACCAATGCTTAATAATAAGACAACTTTGGCGTTGGATATTTTTTTCTTTGAACATTTTTGTTAAATTTATGATCTTTTAAAATTTGCAAATTTTATAATTTTTTGAACATAAAAACTTTAAAAAAATTAGTTTAGATAAATTTCAAATTCAAAATATATTATACTAAACTATATTTTTTTTAGTAAATTTGCCTGTTATCATTTATATCATTTTGAGTTAATAAAAAATTTCCCCTTACACACCCGCCCTTCCCCTCTTGCCGAGAAATGTATACAATATATCACTATAAAGAAGAACTTGAAAGAAAAATTAATAAAAATTAACAAATTTTAAATATAAAAAAAGCATATTTATAAAAAAATAAGTGAAAACCCAAAATTATCTTATGAAAAATATAATGTAGCGAAAGGCATGCAAAAGTGGACCTAAAGACCTAATTTATGATGGAAAACCCAACCTAATAGTGTTTTTTGATTGCTCACCATCGACGACTATCATTTCAATAACCCAGAGCAATTTTTTTATCACTGAAAGTTTCAAAACCTTTTCTGGGACTTTTTTTCATTAGTTTATAAATCAAAAGATATTTTTTGGTTCGATTTATGAGATTGCTCCTATAAAACATATCTTTTCTCTTAGCATTCTGCATAAATTTGTAGAATAAATTATCTAAAAATAGTATAATCACACATAAGGAAAGTGATATGATGTTCCAAATTAAGACTGAGAAAGGTATTTTGAGGAGACATTTAGATCAAATAAGAATTAGAAACTGTTTTAACACAATTATTAACAATGACTCTAAGGATTCTTTTAAGGAGGGAAGTATGGACAAAAATATAAAAATTACTGATAATAATGATATAACACCTATCTCTAGACCTGTGCGAATTAAAAATAAACCTGCTTATTTAAAAAACTATGTAACTTAAAATATAAAATAAATATTAAATTGCATAAACTAAATTAAATATTAAAACGCTTATATTAAAACGCTAAAAATATAACAATCTTATTGATTTATCATTCTTCATTTATTCTTATGATGAACTATTATTTCTTATTCGCAACTTATTTTGTTGATTTATCATTCTTCATTTATTCTTATGATGAACTATTATTTCTTATTCGCAACTTATTTATGATAATAACAATTTCGGAAAAATGACAATTAACAATTGAGTACTATCAAACAAGCTATGATCAATGGAGACAATTTACGATATGGATATCGAGCTTGCGATTTAAACAAACCAACGTGCAAAATCGATTTATACAAACCAACGATTGGACAAGCCAACGTTATGATGATTTGTGATACAACTTGATTACCAAAACGATAAACCACTTGGACAACAAACTCTCTGTGTCTTCTCCGATGAAATTATCAGAAGAGGGAGAATGTTGCGTTATTATAATTATATATTTTTGTAATCTAATTTTATTTTTATATTACATTTTATGAATTCAAATTTATCTTTTCAACTTAACTTTTTATTTTTGTAATTCAACTTATATTACTTATTATTTTGCGTAACCTTATTTATATAACTTTCGGTTTAACTTTACTTTTTTTTATATTATTTTATTTTTTATATTCTAATTTATATTTTATAAAACGTATAAATACCTTAAGAAAAGAAAAAGAAATTAGTCAATAAAGTTAATAAAATATATTTTTACTGACTCGAACCTCGCACCATATCGTCACCACCCATATTCTTTGCATGCCTATGGTTACAACAAAGCATGGGCGGGGTACAGCCCAAAGTACCCCGTGGGCCTCCTCATCCGCCTACGACAAAAAGAAGGATGGGAAACCTGGTGGAACCACTATTCATGAAAATGAAACCTATGACGGCCATAAACGACCTAATAAAAAGTGGAGAAACCAGTTTACGGGTGATCGAGTTAGGGTCGCGACATGGAATGTTGGGAGTATGACGGGAAGAGCGGGAGAAGTCGTCGATGTATTGCACAGAAGACATATAGATGTGTGCTGCATACAGGAGACTAGATGGAAAGGAAATGGGACCAGAATGATTGGCAAGACTAGCGAAAAGTATAAATTCTTTTGGCAAGGAGGTAATGATGGTAAGGCTGGAGTTGGGGTATTGGTTGCGGAGAAATTGGTAGACAAAGTAGTCGAAGTGAGAAGGCTAGACAACCAGATAATGGTTATCAAGATGATTATTGGTAGAAAGCTATATAATATGATCTCGGCATATGTTCCTCAGGTTGGAAGAAGTGAAGAAGAGAAAGATGTATTTTGGGACAGTCTATTGGGGGTGACATCGAGACTGGCAAATGAAGAGGGGATTATCCTGGCTGGCGATCTGAATGGACATGTGGGAGCGAGTAGTGAGGGTTATGAAGGAGTACATGGAGGGTTCAGTTATGGCATGAGAAATTTGGAAGGAGAGAGGATTTTAGAATTTAGTGATGCTATGGATATGATTGTTTGTAATACAATGTTTAAGAAAGAATCAGAGAAGCTGGTGACTTATAAGTCGGGTAGTACCAAAAGTGTTGTGGATTACTTGTTATTAAGGAGATGTGATCGATGTATAATAAAAAATGTGAAAGTGATACCGGGAGAGGAATGTATAAATCAGCATCGACTAGTTGTAGGAGATCTCACTCTTAAAGGTGCCAGGGTCACTAAAAGAAAGTTTGTCCCAAGGCTGAAGGTTTGGAAATTGAAGGAGGAGAATGCTAGACGTCAATTCAATATGGCATTGGCGATTAGGGAGGCGGAGGTGGCACAAGCATCTGGGGTGAATGACAAGTGGGAAGCCATGAAGAAAGCTTGGGTAATGACAACTGAGGAGGTATGTGGATGGACAAAAGGGCCGCCTAGACATAAGGAGACTTGGTGGTGGAGCCCAGAGGTAGCGAAAGCCTTGGATGAGAAACGGAGGTGTTTCAAAGTATGGTATAATAGCAAAGAAAATAGTGATAATGTTATTTACAAGATGGCTAAAAGAAATGCTAAGAAATTAATAGCGAAGGCTCAAGAAGAAAAAAGACACGAGTTTGCTAAAGAAATGAAATGCGCTGATGGAATTGGAAATATGGTTAGAATGGCAAAACAGATGTCAAAAAAGAGGCAGGATGTGATAGGTGTAAAGTGTTTGAAAAATATGGAAGGAAAAATGACGATTGATAGTAGTGGTATTAAGAACACCTGGAAGATTTACATGAAAGGACTTTTGAATGAAGAAAATGAATGGAATAATAATATTAGTTGTGCAAAGGTAGAAGGTCCAGGGTGTAAATTTGGCAAGGACGAGATAAGGAGAGCAGTGAAAAAGATGAAGAAAGGGAAGGCATCGGGTTTAACGATGGTGGTATCAGAGATGTTTAAAGGTTCTGATGATTTAGGGATTGAATGGTTAATGAATTTAGCAAATCAGATTGTCACAGAAGGTACTATTCCCGAGGACTGGCGAAGAAGTATAATTATCCCAGTATACAAGGGGAAAGGTGATCCTTTAGATTGTGGGTCTTACAGAGCTATTAAACTCTTGGAACATGCAATGAAAGTTTTTGAGAGAGTGTTAGAAAAGCGGATAAGGGAACAAATCAAAATTGATGAAATGCAGTTTGGTTTTACATCGGGAAAAGGCACGACAGATGCAATTTTTGTGGTGAGACAAATTCAGGAGAAGTATCTTGCGAAGGAAAAGAAACTCTATTATGCGTTTGTTGATTTGGAGAAAGCATTTGATAGGGTGCCGCGTGAGATTACAAAATGGGCCTTGAGAAAATCCGGTGTGGAGGAATGGTTAGTTACCGCAGTGATGGCAATGTATGTTGGAGCACAAACAGCAGTACGGACGGATCATGGTGATAGTGACAGCTTTGAGGTGAAGGTAGGACTTCATCAAGGATCCGTGCTGAGTCCATTATTATTTATCTTAGTAATGGATGTGGTGGCTAGAGAAATGCGTGAAGGACTTCCCTGGGAGATATTATATGCAGATGACCTTGTATTAATGGCAAACAGTGAGGGAGAATTGAGGGATAAAGTTAGTAAATGGAAGATGACTATGGAAGCAAAGGGCCTGAAAATGAATGCATCAAAAACAAAGGTGATGATTGGTGGGGAAAATCTAAAGATAGAAGAATCAGGTAAGTGGCCTTGTGGTGTATGTGGGAAAGGAGTTGCTAGAAATTCTATCCAATGCACCAGATGCCAGAAATGGGTACATAAAAGATGTAGTGGGAAAAAAGGCAGTTTGATGTTAGAAAGAATGACCTTTATTTGTAAAACATGCATGAAAGGGATACATAATAATGATAACCTAAAAAATGGTGGTCTGGATATTGGCAATGGGTTAACCCTAGAAAAAGTGGATAAGTTTTGTTATTTAGGTGATATGCTAAACGCAGATGGTGGTGTAGATTCTGCTGTTGTTGCAAGGATCAGACAAGCTTGGAAGAAGTTCAGAGAGATGTCATCTATTCTTACAAATAAAAAAGTTTCTCTGAAGTTAAAGGGGAAAGTTTACGTAAGCTGCGTGAGGAGTTGTTTAGTTTATGGCGGTGAAACATGGGCAATGAAAGCAATTCACGAAGCCAAATTAGAAAGAACAGAGATGAGGATGGTTAGATGGATGTGTGGGGTATCTCTGAGAGAGAGAAAAACTAGCAAGGAATTGCGAGCAAGATTAGGTATAGAAATGATTGGTATGGTAATGCGACGAAATAGACTAAGATGGTTTGGGCATGTGGAACGTATGACAAGAGATGACTGGGTAAAGAGATGCACAATGATGGAAGTAGGAGGATCAAGACCTAGAGGAAGACCCAAGATGACGTGGACAAATGTGATAGCGGCGGATATGAGAAGCTTGAATCTTACAAGTATTGATGCTCAGGACCGTCAAAAATGGAAAAGAAAAATCAGAGGGAAAACTGGCCTACCCGGGTAAACCTGGAAATCGCCATAAAACGGAGAAGAAGAAGTATATGCTCTTGAACACTATAAATAACATTTGATAATTTTTTCAGAGTAATAAATGTTAACGTTAGCCCTTTTGATGGTACTGATGTGGGCAACTTCCTTAAACAATTCGATGGCCAAATATATTTGACAGTACTATGATTGATTAAATCCGTTTATTTTAGGGTTGGCTTACTAAGCGAAATTAACTTAATTTTGACCTTCTATACATAAAGAAAAATGTATTAAGCCTAAAAATTTCATTAAATTCACAGCTGTTGTAAAATATCTCAGCCAATGGTGGTTTTTTGGTTTAGTTTGTCCCAAGTCTGATATAAATTCTGACGTAATTAATAAATAAACCAATAGCATGTGATAACGAAAAACATATTAAAGGTAAAGTACACATAAAGGAAATAAAAAAAAGGAGTGAGTATTTAAATTTATAATTACTATTTTCAACAGATTTTACAAACTTTTTCGAGATCAGCTTTACCCAAAAAGCCGCACAGGTATGGGGTCAATGTCGTCCCGCCGTCGTAAAATCCATAACACCCTGGCTCATCTTGAATTTTTAATTGTTTCTTCATTAAAAAGGGGGGCAAGTGAGATATTCGGATTGTCAAGGCGCTAGGCATCTTGGCCGCGTACCAGGCATTCATGTCAAACGCGAATACGGCTATAAAACTGCTATTCATCAAACCTGTTTCGTCGTCCGTTATCTTTCTCTTGGCGGATTTAAAGGGAGTTTTAACCAATCGTGGGCAAATAAGTTCGAGTACGATGAATGTTAGATTGCTGTCGTATTCGTGATTGTTGTTTTTGGGTATCGGAACGTTCAAGTCAGAGGAGATCTTAATATTTTGTTGGGTCAAATAATTTATATTTAAGAATTTTTTTCCGTGTCCTACTTATCAATTTTTGGCGTGTTAAGCGGTAAAACAATGTAAGATGAGGACTTCCTTCCTTCTATTCTTGATATTTTACAATTACAATCCAATAAAAAGTCAAGAAAGAGAGTTAAAGAAGATAACTTTAATATTTTTAGGAGAGCAGTAATCAGGATGAGCCACCAAATCGAGTATTCTAATGTTTTCGGTGTTACCGTCAACCCGCGTACCGGCGAACAAAAGGGAGCTAATATTACCGCTATCTATAGTTAAACAGGGTCGACATTCTACGAACTCCTTGTAGGTTATGGGCGAGGGGTCAGTTGATTTTGTCTTAAACCTGAGTTGATATAAGGTAAATTTTGGGTTTCCGCCTTTCAAATCTAAATATTTGTTTTAAAAAAATTTTAATTTTATTTTGAGAAATCCAAAAAAATTCTACTTTTTTAAATGTCTTATTTTATTTCCTTCCTTTTGAACTTCTTTTTTATCCGCTCATTAAATCCCTTTCTACCTTTTTCCAACATTATAAAATACTAACTTACCACGATTCGAGGGGCCATAGGGGGCTGATATAGTTTGGCGTGCTACCCAAACGTAGTAAAAAGCAACTGGATCATTCTCGGGTTCTTGAAAACTGGCGTGAGAGACAAAGCAATGGAGTGGAACGTCACCAACTGCTTCCCATGTGTTTTCATAGAGTAAATGTAATGGCACAAGGTTCCAAATCTCAAAATTTCCGTTGGAAAACCCGCATAACAAGCAGTCTATTGATGGACAATACTCCAAACAAGAAACATAAATCAAGCCCTAGCAAATTAAATTATAATGTAATTCTTAAGCCTCTTTAAAAATGATTTTTTAGGCAAAAATATTGGTATAATATAGATTTAATATGTATATTTTAAATACATATTGAATGTTGGAATTAAGATTACTATTTTACAGTGAAAATTTCTTTTAGTAAGAAAATGGCTTCATAAAAATTTTGTTTCAGTAATTTTAAAACTTTAAAAAAGACATTAGTGCTAAAAGTTTTATTTTTAAATTTAATTTTTTGATGCTTCGGATGCAGCTTGATATAAATCTTCTAAATCAATCTAGTAGGTATATTTTTAGTAGAATCGTTATATTTTTGTGTGGCAAAAAAATATATATCATGTAAAATGATAATCTTTAAATTTTCAAAAAGTATATTAATAAAATATTAAAATAAAAACAAATATTGAAATGATAGATGAGAGGTAAAAATAGATTGTTGACAAAGATTTAAGGTTAATTTATGAATTACTAAATAACCTTCTGTATAAAAAATGCTTGAATATTAAATCAAATAAATAAGTATCTAAAAACATCAAGTTATATTTTAAAATGATTATATCATGATATAAATAATATCTAAATTAAATGGCAGCTCAGGCCGATTCTAATGTGCGGATGAAACGTTTTAAAAAGTTAAGCCAGTCCAAGCCATATTGGTTTTTTATGAAGGAAAACGACATAAATTTTCCTAATTATCAGCTTTAAAAACATTTTCAAACTTCGGTCTTGTTTGTAAAATATTTAGCACAATCGTCTGGCCCAGCCCAAAATTATTTTTCCCAGCTCGGACTATGGACCCAGCTAACCTCTAATCTAAATATTTACTACCCCATCTCATTGATATACAACAATCTTTGATTTTTAGCTTGCATATTCAAAAATAATTTAAATTTAAATTAATATAAATATTAGTGTTGTTAGGTAAGATTAAAGATGCAACTAGTAACTGTAACTAATTATTTCTTGAAATGTAACTAAAAAAGTACTTTTTAAAAAAAATGTTTAAAAAAAATATTTTTTTAATTATCTTATTTCACAAATTCGAATTACTTCATACTCATCTACATTGCACTCCTCCTGTATCCTGTAAAATGTTTGTTTAGTCTAAGAAAGCTTAAATTTATAGTAGGCCTATTCAAAAACGATTAGAATAAATGTCAATCGATGAATACAAAAAACAATACGAATATAAAATTATGATTACAATAAAAAGAATAACACAAATATTCGACTAATTATTTGAATAATTTGTTAATTCTACAAATTAGAATCTTCAAATTATTCGGATAATTATTATGTTTTTAATAAAATGTAATTATTTATCATTTATATTGAAACCTATGTGAATAACAAGGTTATATACAACTGCCTGCGAATTTTCTTAGTTGAAACTAATTTCTCTCAAAAAATCCCATGTCTTATAAAGAAAGAAAAACTATTTACTTTAAAAAATTCGTCAGGCATTATAACATTTTAATTTAGTTAATAACTTGTTGGCATGTTCTTTATCATCGAATTATTATGATAATTTTTTTATCTAGAGGTGCAATAAAAATATTCTGTCAACATATTTTCATGTGGATTATTTTATAATATTTTTAAAAAACGAATTATTCAAATAATTTAAATAGAATACAAATAATAATTTTTATTCCTCGTACAATACGAATACTAAATTATTGGATTCGTATTTTTTTTTGAAATTTAAGGAAAAACTAGCACACTATTTATTACACATAAATTTTAAAAAATAGCCAACTTAAGTCGATAAAAAGTTTTTAGTTCAAATTATTATGAAAAATAAATATTATATTGTGTTATTTGTATATTTGGGTTATATAATAAAATGTTATATATTTTTTTCAATACAATAATTAAATGATAGTTTTTCAGTGCAATTATTTCTTTAACTAAATCATATAAAAATTATATTAAAAATGTTAATGTTGGCCATAAATTATGTATATAACTATTAATGTAACTAGTTATTTTTAAATTTTAGCTGTAACTAGTAACTAGATACCTTGAAATAATTTAAATAGTTACCTTCAAAAGTAACTTTCAACGCTAATAAATATATATAATAATAATGTTAGCAAAAATTTATTTAGAATTTAATTTTAAAATATAAGGAAAATATAGGTGTTTTAAAATGTAAACCCCACCGTTTATAAAAATCACGGCGACGCATGGCCGGAAATTTTTTAAAAAATAATTTTCATATTTTATGCATTTTTATTCTAAATTTAGTCAATATTACCGTTGTAATTTTATTTATGATAATCAAGATTTTGATAAATTCTTATTTTATACTTATTTTAACATCATTTTAGAATTCAATCAATCAAAAATTCCAAAAGTTACTACAATTTAACATATTTTTAAATTTAGAAATAGTGTTTGATTAAGTGAATATAAACACTACATATGTTTGGGTCACGGTTTGCATAATCTGGTTACAATATAGTGGATGGTATTAAATACCTTTCATTGAAAATCTTATCAAAAGAATAAGAGAAATTATTACTGCTCTAAGATATAAAACTCCAGATATTTAATTTGAGTTCGAGGTAAATCAAAGAAAATGTTAAGTAAATCAAAGAAAATGTTAAAGTACAATGGATCTTACATCAGATATGCTAGATACTGTTAGCACTAATCCATACCCTGATCCCCGTTTTCAAATTGGCGATTCCAATGATGACTCATATAAAAAAATTAAAATTAAATGTCCCAACCAGATGGCATGGCATATTAATTATGCCTAAAAGCATATCTGAAGAAAATAAAAATTTAATTAATAACATTTTGAAAAGAATCGGGAAACTATCTAATCAAATCTAGTAGAAGAAGTATTAGCTTTTCTTTTAAAATTTAAAGAAACAGTTGAATTTCTATCTACACAAAAAGGCCTACATTAAACTTGGCTTCACTTTTTAGAAGTGTAATTGGAAACAAATGTAATAGTAAATGGTAATGATAACTTAGAAATCATTTTCTATAAGATTATAAGCTATTTTTCAAAAATAATCTAGGTGTTGGCTTCACTCTGGACCCAAGATTTCAAAAATTGAAATTGATATCAAAGAGTATAATAGAGCAAGATTACTCAGCGTCAGAATAAATTATAAAGCACTTAAACCTTATAGAATATGAAAATATTAGGGTAGTAAACACAGATTGAGAATTAAGAGGAGATATTAAATTCAAATTAGTTGACAAAATTAATAACTAAATATTCAATAACAAAATTATGAATTTAAGTGATTTAGAATAAGAATACCCTATACATCTCAGAAAATGTCATTCACACGATATAAATTTTCTAAATTTCTAGAGAAAAGAGGATCGAAATTTCTAATTTTTTCACGCTAGCTAAAAAAAATTATTCATGTTCCGGCAAATAGTACACTTAAAGAAAGCGTTTTCTCTACCACTGGGTTGACGTTGAATTCAAAGAGATCATCATTATGTCCGGAAAATTTAAATAAACTAATATTTATACATTTGGATTATAAAATTGATTTTAAATTCATGAGTTTTCTCTTCAATAAAGATCTAAAAATATATCGAGATATCTGTAGTGTAGTGTATATTTTAATTTTTCTAAAAAAAAATTTAATATGCAATTAAAAAATATAGATGTTATAAAAAATTAATAACGATGTGCCGATTTATGCCGCTTATGCTGATGAGCTAAAAATTAGTGCTCCGCCGATAGCCGATTAGATTTTTGAAACTCGCGCCGGCCGCGATAGTTTCGTCGGCGCAAAGATCTATATATGGATATATTTTTAATTTTTAAAAGGAAATTATGAAATTAGCTAAAATCACCAAATGTCCATGTTAATTTATCTATATTTTAAAAATAACTATATTCTACTTATTTTCTAAATTATATTATAATTTTTTATAACCTTTCTAAGTTTTTTTTTCTTCAGAGGAGTAGAGAGAAGACCACAAATATCCGCATTTGTATGATCACTGTTAACTCAAGAGAAGAAATTTTGGAAAAAAGATAGCTAATTAATTAGCTCTCAATCTACTAAGATTACAATAATAATATTGAGGTTTCTAATACTCAAAATAAAGGAATTCTATAAAAACCAATTAAAAAAAAAGATTCAAAAACTTGTTTTAAAAATCTGTATATCTCTTTTGTTTAGATTTTTGCAATTGAAAGACAAGTTTTTATATCAGCTTAGATCACATTCAATGAGATATTCCTTTCATAAGGGAAAAAAAATCATTTAAAATGTTGTTTACATCACTATTTTATGTAGTTTAAGAGAAAGCCATTTTGAACAACTATACAAAAGAAAAGATTAAATTGGGTTTTAAAAGAGAAATTTGAAAACATAATATCCTGCATAATTAAAATATGTATAAATTTTGGGTTCTTACTATATAGGGTTATAAGAAACCATGCAGAATGCTTTTAACCTGATTTCTTAAGAACCGTAAAGTTTCCCTGGGTCATTCCAATACAAATCAACAAAGTTTTGGACTCAAAAATGAATGAAACTTGACAAGTTAGTTATTTATGTAGTAAATTTTAATAAAATCAAAATTCTAGAGTGCTAGCTCAACCAGATCTAAAGACATAAGCCTTCAAAGTCGAAATCGTGCAATGCATGATTTCATCAAATCTTTATTTTTCAAAAAATACTTAAGATAGAGTTATATATTAATAATCATTTTATGGCCCTTAAAATTGGAAAATATAAAAAAAATTTAAAGTTTCTTATTTTCGGCAAAAATAAAAATGTTGAGAAGGATTATTTTGGGTACTGATATTAGGTTGGAATGATGGTTATTGCTTATATTTAACTATTTAAACAAAAAAATAAATAATATTGCCCCAGGACATCATATTTGTTATATTAAATGAATATTTTTTATTTTAATACCAATATAAAACATATTTTTATTAAATATATTATATTATGATTTTAAATAACACCATCGTAAATAAGATCAAAAAATGAAATAAAGTTATCGATTTTTTTTGATTAAACAGTTGAATATAAAAATAATAACTATTTCTAGCGAATATTAACATCCCAAAAAAATCCCTTCTTAACAATGTTAATTTTTTATTTTTACCAGAAATAAGAAAATAGTTGGAATTTGTCAATCTTTTTTGATATTTTACATTAAGGCAGGCGCGTACGCAGGAATTTGGCCTGGGGGGGGGGGGATAATAAATTTTTTTAAGAAATAATATTTTTAATTAAAAATACTAAGCATAAATTTATTAGGATTAATAACTTTTCTAATACACAATTTTAAACTAATGTGAATTAAAAAAATTATATATATAAACAGGCATTTAAATGTGAATCATAAAGTATAAAGTGAATATAACCCACGATATGAATCACTTAAATGACCCAAAATTGAAATTTGAATTTTTTGAGCTTTTAAAATATATAAAGTATAAAAAATTTAAATGTTGTAAATATAAATTAATACACAAAACGTTTCTTAGGAATAATTGTATTTTGTATGTTTTGAGCTAATTTTTCAATTATCAATCCTTGCTTAGCGTTAAATGTCTATGAATATTCAAAAGATCCAAATCATTCAATCTACTTTCAGATGTTGTATTTCATAGGTATGTTTTTCACAGACTTGCAGGCCCGGCCCCTGAGCCGAACCGTATTTAAATTTTTTTAAATATACCCAGGCCGGGCTCGTAATTTTTTTTTTTAAAAACACCCGGGCTGGGCCTGAAAATTTTTTAAGAAAAAATATCCGAGCCGAGTTGTATATTTTAAAACCAAATATTTGAAATCGCCATTATTAGCTATAAATATCAAAAATAAATATAATTTATTTTAAAAAATTCGGGCTAAGCCAGCCGGGCCTGAAAATTTTTTTAAAAAAAACCCGGGCCGGAAAAAATTTTAAAATAAAATCTGGGCCTGGTCCTGCAAATGGTACCTCTGCAAGCCTCTGTTATTCTTCTTAAAAAAGTGAATGTTCTCTCATTAGTTTACTAAAGAGCTGCTAATATATATATAACCATTTTAATAATGGGAGTATAATCTAAAATGTGTTTGAAATAAAAAGCATCCATAGCATTTTTTGGGACTGTATCAACCATAGTTAATCTTTTAATCATAGTTATTCAGCTATAAGGCATCATAAGATATTTTAACATCTTCATGATAAAAATATAATAAATATTTATATTTTTTTTCTATCCCCATATGAAAAAGGTTGGGAGAGGGGACATTTGTTTTATAATACTCTTCTACTGATCCTATATTAATGTTTTGATAATGAGCTTGCTTGCTGCAAGTCGAGGGGGACAAATATTTAACACGTATAGCTCTGCTTTTGACTCAACAATAACATATAAAATATGAAATTCTTCAACAACACTAGCTCTATTTCCTTGAGTTCTAATAAAATGATCTCCGCTATTCTCATCTTCTTAATCAAGTCAATGTTATGTTTTTAAAAGTATTACATAAAATAGTTGTATAATTAAATAATACATTCTAATGAGAAAAAAAATTTGGAATAAGTATTGAATCCAATAATTTTCTTGCTTCTGAGGAAATATTTCTTTCAAGCCATTGTGATATTTCAGTAATAGCATTAATAATCAGCTCTTCTAACTCCAAAATAGCTGTTACTGTGGCGGAGACTCGATCTCGTTGGACAAGCTTGCAATTTTTTTCTCCCTGTTGGACACGGAGTTTCAGAGATAATTATTATTTTATTAGAAATTTAGATAAATATTACGCCACTAAAATTTGAAAATAATAGGTAAATTACGCCAAGGAAAACTTGAAATCGAAATTGATTGATAAAATAACTTAGTAGATGAATGTGATAAATAAAATATATATATATATGTATATATGAGATAAGAATAAATATTAACAAATATAAATTAATATTAACAATAATATTTTTGAAAAATATAATCCGGCATCTGCATTTTTTGGCTTGAGGGGGGGGGGGGGGGGATTTGTCCCCCTGTCTTCCCCCCCCGCTGCGTACGCGCCTGCATTAAGGCAATAAGATTATATATATCTTGTAACTCTATTTAAAGAAGTTTTTTTTTTCAAATTAGTGATTAACATTCAAAATTCTTATTTTTTGTTTGATTTGATATGAAATAACCCAAATAATATAATGGAGCAAAAGGACTAGTATATAATATAATATTGTGTAAGTAGCAAGATATCATAACAAAGTGTTATCCGATCAATTTAGCAGCAAGATGGAGCACAAAATCTAAAAGAATCCAAAATTTATAATATTAGTCCGTTACAATTCTCTTCCCAATCCAATTGAAAGAATAGGTTTCCTCAAATGAAAACTTAAAAATTAGTTATGTACAACAAAGTATGCTTTGAAGAATAAATTTATTTATATGAAAATTGTTTTGAAATATGAGTCATCTTATGAATTCAATAATAACATAAGAATATTCATATTTATAAAGGCAAAGGTAGACATAACATAACTTTAATAAAGTTGGCCAAAATTTGTATTTTAGCAGAGTATGATAATAATTTTAAATAGAGTTAAATATTTTAATCAATGAGACTTTAATAATTTAAATATGATCTATATTAAATCTTGTTCATTATATATGGCTACCAAGATTTTGATATTTTTTTTAAATTAAAATTTTAATAAGCTAAAAAAATAAGAATAGCTGGTTAACAATAAAGTGAAGTAGTATATACATATCTATACAAAAGAAAGAATTATTCAAATCATATATTAAATAAAAGGTACTTTGACTATTGCTAAATCAAGAGAAATTTTTGGAAGTTTATCTGAATTCTTATTATCATTAATAAAATTGTAAGAAGGAATATATTCTTCAATAATATTTGGATTCTCCATCTTAGATATTAATTCTTTATAATTATTATATGTTATCAATGAATTTAAGGATATATAAATTAATGATATTTGCATTTCATGTTGGAGAGTAATAGTAGAATAGATTAAATAAATTATATTTGATTTAAAAAATTTGGTATCCACATATTCTATTTCATTTATACAAGTAATTAATCCATTTATGTTGATCAGATTTTGGAATAAGTTACTATTGGCATTAAATACACAAATACAACTAAAATAGTATTGAAATACAAATTAAATAATATATTATATAAGATACCTATTTTTTAAATTTTTATTGGTTAATGAAATTAACAACAAATTTCTTTTAAAATTTAATGGTGTAATATCAAATATTTCGAAATCTTGGTTTATTATTGAAAAATCAATAATAAATTCAGATGCCTTATCCTTTTTAAATATCTAATATAAAGTAAGAATATTTTCATAAAATATCATTATAACTTTAATGGTGCATTTATCTATAGCATAATAAAATTCAGAATCACACATATTCACACAATTTAGATATTTCAAAAGCTATAGCATGAATAAATGACTGTGTATAAAAGTCCGAACGCTGCGGTGTAACTAAAGTGATAATTGACAGGTAAAAGAATAGCCAGATAAACTGAGAATTGACAGGTAAAATTTCTATTTTATAGCCTATTAATTTTATTTTAAAAATAAAAATTAAATGTTTTTATTATAAAAATCAAATTTATCCATATAATTTTATCTAAATAAACAAAATAGAATATAGAAGAAATTGTAGTCCGTATAAAATATGTATAGAACGAATCCCAGAAAAAAAACCCCTGGAAAAAAAACCCCGGAAAAACCCCCGAATAAACCCCCGGAAAATAAACCCCCCGGAAAATAAACCCCCCGGAAAATAAACCCCCGGAAAATAAACCCCCAGGAAAAAAAACCCCCGGAAAATAAACCCCCAGGAAAAAAAACCCCTGGAAAATAAACCCTCAGGAAAAAAAACCCCCGGAAAATAAATCCCCAGGAAAAAAAATTCCGGAAAAAAATTCCCCAATAATTTTTTTTCATTTTTATAGAATTTACTTAAGACCGGTCTACTCTTCATAAAAAAATTCTTAAATAAGAAAAACTGATGTTTAAATTGGTACTGGGAAAAAATGCCTCAGTAAAATAACTATGTATTGTAAAAAAAATTTCCTATAGTAAAAATACAATACCATCTTTAAATATGATATTAAATAGACTAAATTTGACAAAACTTAGAAATAAGAAATGTTTATTTTATTGGTAAATCATGATTATGTATATATAATTTTATAATTTATAATAATAATTATATTGGTTGACATCGAATATTGAAGGATATCGCTCTTATAAAATCCGAAAGGCTTCGCACCCCATCACGGTATTCTTCGCAAAGTTTCTTTAGCCGAATCTGGTTGTTAGAACTCTGCGATTTTGTTTTAGATGTCCAACTACCTACGCGCCATCTTTCAAGTTTGGTTTCGTCGGCAGCCACCTCGCATTTCATTTTTTTAATGAGTACCCAGATTGATGGGTGTTTATTTCCAACCAGATTAGAAAAACGATGATTCCAACCTTCGCATTGATTATTTGTTCGTTCTTCATCTGAGAGAGTACTCTGATTCACGTTCCAGGTTTCTGGAGGAAATCGAGGCTCAATTCGACGTGTTTGGGATTGAGAATTGCTTCTCATGACATTCCTTGATACTCCATTGACATAATTTTTATCGAAATAATCGAGAATGTCCTTACCATTGCTCGGAGTAACTGATCTAAGGAATGTCATTGCATTATCCATATCACATAACGGAACGAATGCTAAGCCGTCCATCATGCCACAAAAAAAACTTCGAGTTTCACCCGTCCTATATTCGCTTTCCAGACCCAGCTTCTGAATTTTTCTATGTGTACTTTGACACAAATGGTAAAAACATCCTCTAATTACGATGTGATCCCCTAATTGGAAAAATAAATATAAATTATTAAACATATTAATAATCATACCAATGATACTCTTAACCGCGGTCATAGCAGACTTTTCGAAATCCATGTATATATATAATGGATCAGGAAATAAATCCCTTTCCTGACATTTAGACATTATTGTTTGAAATATTATTTCATATGTACTTTGAGTTTTTTTCTGGAGTACACAATAAACCGCTGTAATAAAAATATTGTTTATTGCTACTCTAATCACATATAATTGTAGAAAATTTTTTGGGGACATGGCAAAATTACCATCCATATACCACTTTGTCCTATTAGATATTAGATTCAAGGAATCATCTGTTGCGAACATTATTATGCGTTCTTCAGCTTGTGGGCCATTATCAAATAATAAAAATCGTTTTGAGTTCTGGGAGCCACAATTTGCCCAATCACCTATAATATTTAAATTTTTATGAAAATATAATTATATTTAAAGTAATACCTTCAATAACTAGGTCTTCCAAATTCTCAAGATTTGAAGGGTGTTGCATTGCTTTGTGATTCCTTAGAGTTCTTTTTATAGAATCTTCCGATAACATATGCGACTGAACTTTTTGGTCTAATTTTACAATTTCCTCTGCATAAATTTGAAGAGGTTTTGCCAAAGAGTCTGCACATCGCTTCTTCATGTTAGCAATGGATTTCATTGCTACTAGTCCATCAATATTTAATGGATGATTATGAGCTGTATCAAGAACCAGGTCTTGATTATCGAGTGTTGAAAAAAGTATTGCTCGGCATTTAAAAGAAGAATACTTTGAGCAGCGCCATCTAATCTTGTTTGAGCATTTTTTATGTATGGTATAAGATAACCTTCAAATATGAGCTTTCCAGGATGAATAAGATCCATTAAATTTTTTTTATAAAATATAAATTTTATGAATAAAATATTTTTGTAAATTTAATTTTTTTTTATAAAATATAAATTTTATGAATAAAATATTTTTGTAAATTTAAATTTTTTTAAAATTTTATGAATAAAATATTTTTGTAAATTTAATTTTTTTTTTGTCTTTTATATACGGCATAAAGATCCAAATTATTATTGTTTAATTTTATAAATAAATACCAATTATAGCGTTTTTAATTTATAAACAATTTTTATTCTTTTGATTAAAAATACATTTTATAACAATACATTTTAATATCTGTTCATTTAACTAGTTGCTGCAATAATATTTATTAACTTGCAATTGTCTAAAAACCAATTATAGCGTTTTTAATTTATAAACAATTTTTATTCTTTTGATTAAAAATACATTTTAAAACAATACCAATCATAGCGTTTTTAATTAATAAACAATTTTTATTCTTTTGATTAAAAATACATTTTAAAACTTTTAATAAGCTAATAACTAAAGGTAGTTGCATATCAATGAGGTGAGAAATCATGAATAAATTAAAATTATCACATTTATTCAAAATACCAAATGCAAAAAAATTGAGTATTTTACATTTGCATTTTAATGGTTTCAACTGAATTAAATTGTATATTGGGTGAATGTATATTTGTTTATATTATAATAAATCACGAATTTATTTCAATATTCATCTTTTAAATATGCATGAATTAAGTTTCAATTTCTTTATATACTGGCTGCTAACAACCAATCAGGTTATATATAGATGTATTTCTAAAAATTGATTATCTGCTTAAATAAATTTGTATTTTAAAAAAAATACATTACGTTTTAAGTATCAATAGTAAATATAAATAACCCATCATATTGGGGGTAAATTTGGATGGTGCATCATATTCATAGGAGACACACCAACTCCAGCAAGATCCATGACAGTAAGAGGAGGTGGGGGTGGAGGAAGCATGAATGGTCTATAAGCTAAAATTTGATGAGGTCATAATATTTTTAACAAATTATTAACTTGCAATTGTATATATACCAATTCAATATAAATTATTGCTAGAATATACTTAAATATGAGAGTGTATAAAAATAATCTCAAGGGGTTTTTTTCCGGGGGTTATATTTCCTGGGGGTTTTTTTTCCTTGGGGTTTTATTTCCTGGGGGTTTTTTTCCGGGGGTTAAATTTCCTGGGGGTTTTTTTTCCGGGGGTTTTATTTCCTGGGGGTTTTTTTTCCGGGGGTTTTTTTCCGGGGTTTTTTTTCCAGGGGTTTTTTTTCCTATTACCGTATAGAACAGATATCTTACATAGAAAATATAACATATATAATAAATTTTAAAATCATAAATATATTCCCAATATATGGCGTAATATATTAAAAATTTAGTTTTTAATTAAAAAAAAATATGAATTATAGGAGCATAATTCTTTACTTTATATTAATTTATTTGGTACAAGCTATATAATCATAAAATGAAAAAAATTTAAGTTTCCATCATTATTTTTGGAGTTATAATGTCACTCAGTTTAGTAAAAAATTTTTAGATTTTTGGGATTTTAAAAATATTTTATTTTTTTTGACTCATGTTGTGTAAACTTACTGATATAAACATAAAATGAAAAAAATTTTAAGTTTCCGTCATTACTTTTTGAGTTATGATGTCAATTCTCAGTTTAGTCAAAAATTTTTAGATTTTTGGGATTTTAAAAATATTTTATTTTTTGTGACTCATTTTGTGTAAACTTACTCATATAAACATAAAATAAAAAAAATTTTAAGTTTCCATCATTATTTTTTGAGTTATGATGTCAAATTCTCAGTTTAGTCAAAATTTGTTAGATTTTTAGGATTTTAAAAATATTTTATTTTTTGACTCATTTTGTGTAAACCTACTCATATAAACATGAAATGAAAAAAATTTTAAGTTTCCATCATTATTTTTTGAGTTATGATGGGAAATTCTCAGTTGAGTCAAAATTTTTTAGATATTTGGGATTTTAAAAATATTTTATTTTTTTGACTCATTTTGTGTAAACTTACTCATATAAACATGAAATGAAAAAAATTTTAAGTTTCCGTCATTATTTTTTGAGTTATGATGTGAAATTCTCAGTTTAGTCAAAAAATTTTAGATTTTTGGGATTTTAAAAGTATTTTATTTTTTTTGACTCATTTTGTGTAAACTTACTCATATAAACATAAAATGAAAAAAATTGTTAGTTTCCATCATTATTTTTTGAGTTATGATGTCCATTCTTAGTTTAATCAAAATTTTTTAGATATTTGGGATTTTAAAAATATTTAATTTTTTTGACTCATTTTGTGTAAACTTCCTCATATAAACATAAAATGAAAAAAATTGTTAGTTTCCATTATTATTTTTTGAGTTATGATGTGCATTCTTAGTTTAATCAAAATTTTTTAGATTTTTGGGATTTTAAAAATATTTAATTTTTTTTTTACTCATTTTGTGTAAACATACTCATATAAACATAAAATGAAATAAAAATTAAGTTTCCGTCATTATTATTTGAGTTATGATGTGAAATTCTCAGTTTAGTGAAAATTTTTTAGATTTTTGGGATTTTAAAAATATTATATTTTTTTTGACTCATTTTGTGTAATCTTACTCATATAAACACAAAATGAAAAAAAAAT